GATGGATTGTCATTTTGGTGACTGTTAGCGCGCGTGTGATAATGGATCTGTAGTCAGAGATATTTTATGGAATGAGTTGCTAATGGGGTAATGTCTTAATGATGGCGATTCAGGGATCTGGCAGCCAGCAGCCAGAGATTGTCTGTGTATTCGGCGGTGCGAGGTGAGTTACCTTCCCGGTATCAGTGGGTCGAAGGCACCAATGTCGGCTCACTTATTGTTGTTTATAGTAAGATGATTGTCTTGGTGATAATTGTCTGGTATGCCACTATCTATTGTGATTTATATTCTTGTATGCTATGATATTATGTGGTAGTGGTAAGGGTGAAATAGACCTCGTAACCGGTTGAAAGAGACCGAAGGGGTAGGCCAACACCTAGATATGCTCGACAGTATCTGATTGAAAGAGACCGAAGGGGTAGGCCAGCACCCAGATATGCTCGATAATATCCGGTTGAAAGAGATCGAAGGGGTAGGCCAGCACCCAAATATGCTCGACGGTATCTAGTTGAAAGAGACCGAAGGAGAGGCCAGCACCCATATATGCTCGACAGTATCCGGTTGAAAAATAAAATAAAATTAATACAGATTATAAGGTGATATAACTTCATATATTTATTTAAATCAACAATTATAATTTTATATAACTAAAAAAATATCTCTTAAGTAATTATTTAGACAAAACTGCAAATTTAGTCCTTGTGCTTTGCAAAAATCTTTGGATGGGGTCCAAAAAGTTTCCACCTTGCACAGAAGATCAAAAATCAAGGTTTTTCTGGGTTTTTAGTCCAAAAAAACTTGAAAAGACGATTATACCCTTTTAATTTCTTTTTTTTTTTATTTTTTACAATTATTCTAATACCATTTTGTCTTAAAAATAAAAAGAAAAGAAATATATTATCCCCCACCCACCCATACGTTCTCTCTCTCTCTCTCTCTAACTCCCTTCACCAGTTATGCATCTCTGGCATAGGAGGAAACCGGTGGAACTAGGAGACCACCAATCGCCACCATGCCAGTACTCCTCATCTTCCTAATCTGCTCACCGATCTCAGCCAAACACCTCTCTTTGATCGTTACTGCTACTGCTCAAATCTACAGCCTACAACGAGAAGGGAAGCAGTCGAGTGGAGCACCGGAGCTACCCCCTTCCTCCGTGGCGATTGGTCGAGGAACACCACCCAAACACCCCTGACTCCTTCACTAAGGACGATGAGAAAGGAAGCCACGACGGGCCTGCCAGAGACGTCGACTGTAGTCCCTCCTATTGAAGAAGAATCACCCAAATGCTTCCCATGCCCACTGTTGTCGATGAATCAAAGACAACAACCCCCGATGAGGTTTTGTTGTCGATGGATCGCGCCGGAAAACCGACCATCTGGGTTTTCAATTTTTTCTCGATTTATTGTGATTGTGTTCAGTCTAAACCATATTCCATTTTGGGGTTCCATAATTTCACTGCAATAAGACGGTTTGCATAGAAATTGAGGTTTGGATTGACTCAAGTGTATCGATATTTTGAAGGATACATCATTAAAAAGAGGGTTTAATAGTGATTCCACTATTGCCCCATGTTTTCATCCTTCTGTTTGCGATCCCACCACTGCTACATGTCGGAGCTTCCACCACCGATACATGTCTAGAGCTATCGCCGGAGTTGGAGAACTCGTCAGTGGGTCTTGGATCCAGAGATGAAACCCTAGTTATAGTCGGAGAAGCACAACTCAGTGGCACGAAGAACGAAGAAGGGGAATTCGTCGATGGGTCTTTAATCTCTTATGAAAATACACTGTGTGTGTGTGTGTGAGAGAGAGAGAGAGAGAAGTATCAGTGGGGGGAAGGAGGGAGAAAGAGACGTAAGAGAGATAGAGTTTTACCTATTTTCTTATTATTATTATTATTGAAATGTTAATAAAATGTAAAAAAAATGTAAAAGTAAATAAATAAGGGTATAACCGTCTTTTCAAATTTTTTTGGACTAAAAACCCAGAAAAACCTTGATTTTGGATCTTCTGTGCAAGCTGGAAACTTTTTGGACCCCATTCAAAGATTTTTGCAAACTATAAAAACCAAATTTGCAGTTTGTCAATTATTTATTTAAAATAATTAATTAATAATGTTTACTTTTTAATATGAAAGTTTAATTAATTTTAAAACTGTGATTATCATGAGTTATAAACTAGTTTCTAATAAAAGTCGTTCAACATAAATATATTTGTGTTTTAATAGTTTCCGTACTCTTATAAAATAAATAATATACAAAAGACGTCGAATAAATTAATACGGCAACACTCATGCCGGTTCAAAGAATTTATTTCGGAATTTATTATTCTTACGTATTTCTTTTATATATCTACTTCTTTTGTAAGGTAAATCCATAAACTCTAATAATTTATGAGAACTCTATATCTTATTAACTAATTAATCATTATTTAATAGCGTGACATACTGATAATGACATAGCGATTTTTTTATAACACCATGCTATAAAGTCGTAACGGTTGACTAATGGCAAGGTCCGTGGTGGGTACATGTACGGCTAACAACACAAATTTATATATTTCATCATTGGAATATTTTATGGATTAGTTAAAGAAAGAATGTAACCCTCTACCATTCAAATTATTAAAATAGCATTAAGACTAATACCTATCCAATTCCAACAACAAGGCATGATTCTACGTCTATTGTTATATACCAGTATGATTTTATATGTTGCCTTTTTTTTTTATAATAAGAGCATATACAATGTATAGTTTAATGATTGAATGAGATGAAATGTTAATTGATATTTAAATATATTGAAATACTTTTATATAAAATAATTAACAAATAAATGATTTTATAAGAAATATATGTTTTATTAAACTTTTCTAGATTTAAGGAAAAAATTGTAAGTTGTATGAAAGTGGAATTATGATGTGACAGTTCAATAATCCTCTCAATTTGACAGTTCAATAATCCTCTCAATTCCTGCCCCTTTGTTTTTTCTCTTCTATGGTTACTCGTTCTATGTCTTGGCATATACTAATTGTTAGGTTTTTGTCTTTTTGATCGGTGTTGACAATGGATTGACCACATGACCATATACAAACAATATAGGATAATGATATGTGCTAAGATGTATGGATTTTATATAACAATTTTGTGTTAATTGTGTGAGTTATCTTGATTTTAGGTCCGATTAAGCACTAATTTGGTTTATTTTTCGGGTTTTAGACGTAATGGATGACTATCAAAATAAAACAAAATAGAAATGTATAAGTCAAAAAGGAAACCGATCAGAAATTAATGGGGATTTACATCACAAAACGAGCATATCAAGAAACCCATAATCAGAAATTAAATTAGCAAATGATTAGCCTACTTTGCATCAATTTCGCAGCCCATTTTATCCAAACAAAACAGCAGCAGCCTAGCCCTAATGGCAGGTCTTTTAGTGGCCCATCAACTTGTTTAAGTCTTAGCTAAAAAAATTAGCAAAAAACTGCCCAGAAAATCAGCAATATTATCCTAAACTCAGCGTCTTGTTGGTAGAGCTGGCAATGGGTCGATCTGAGTTGGATTGGGTTCAACCCATTTATTAATTTGGTTGAAAATTTCAACCCAACCCAACCTGTTTATTTAAATGGGTTGGAATTTCTAACTCAACCCAACCTTTCAGATAAATGGGTTGTCACTGGGTTGACCCATTTATGTAGTTCACTACCCAACCTATTAAATAAATTGGTTAAACTTGGGTTGACCCATATAAAATAAAAATAAATATATAAATTAACTAAAGATTACACAACTTAAATTAGTTATAGACTTAAATCCAATTTCAAAGTATGACAAAAGCACAATTTCAATTCATATATACAAAGAAATTGCTCAAATAACATAAAGATTTGTAATTAGTAAGTGATTTTTTAGAGTGACTAGTGTTGTCGGTGCCAAGAAAAAAGATATGAATTAGGATTCCATTTTTTTAAAACATAAATAATAATACGAACATTGTAATTTATAAACTAATACTTAGATTAATACATGATAATATAATTAATTATTAAATTAAATACAAATTAAAGTTAAATGAGTTGGTGGGTTGAAAACGGGTTGATAATTTTTACCTGACCCAACCTATTTAATTAAATGTGTTAGAAGGGTTGACCCATTTAACTTAAATGGGTTGAAAATCTCAACCCAACCTGTTAATTTTGGGTTGGGTTCGGGTTGGATCGATTTTTGCCAGCTCTACTTGTTGACAGCTTTTTTTTGTCATAATATACGCCATAAAAATAGCAAAATAGCACCAAAATCAGCAACATTGGCATCCATTTCGTGGCTAACAAGTGATTTTGTTAAAAGCTATATACTTCACTTGTTCATTTTCAATTGGAAAATAAGCAAAAAGTTAAGAATTGTTACACTCAATAATAACTTATTTTATTGGTCTTTCTTACTTTCAAAAGATGGATAACGTAATTCTTTTTTTTTAATTCAATATTTTTATTTTAAACAGTATCTTGTTTCTCAGATTTACAGTTTCCTTTTTCATCCATTTCATGAATTTATATAGAAAATATTTGCAATTTAATAGACAAAGTGACCAAATATAGGAGAAGCTTTATGGTCCAAGGTTGCCAACATTAAAAGTTATCAAGTTGTATGAAAAATAGAAATATGCTAATTTATTAAACTCTATAAAATTCCATGTATTATGTATTTCCTTATTTTCAAAACCATGGTTCCAAATAGTAAAGGAAACAATGTGATGCTCGTGAATAAAATCATCATGAATGTATAAAATGGCATGATCAGGTGCAATCCAACACATGAAAAACCAAATACAATGATTTTAAAAGTTAGATAACTCGTTAAAGATCTTGACTTCGATGCACGAAACATATGTTTGTACTGTGGATATTTCATGACTCAAATCCGTAACCTTCCATTATTAAATAAATACCTATGGTTATATTAATGTAGCTCATAACTAATTCATAAAAAGTTAGAACATGTCATTTTCACAAAATTATGTTACTCTTATCATCCCAATCTGCCTGCTCATACTTGTACATCATGCATCAACAGATGTAACTTTTAAGATGTTGATCTTTTTCATCTTTAGGTTTTAAGGCTCATTAGTTTAATCTTTTAAACTTTATCTTTCTTTCTTGGATTTTCAGTGGGTGAATCATGGAGGAGGAATAGACAACCGGAGATTTGCCACCGACGAGTTTCAGATCAACCCTTCCACAGTGAACAAACTCAGGCTAAGATGGAAGTTTTTCACCGGGAAGGACATATCGGCGACGCCAGCCATCGCCGGTGGAGTCGTCTACTTTCCGTCATGGAACGGGTTCTTGTATGCAGTGAATGCCTTCACTGGGGATCTTATATGGCAGCAGAATCTCGGTCAACTGACCGGCCTCCCCGGAACTGGAACTTATGTGAATGTATCGGTCTCGAGAGCTACTCCGGTTGTTGCCCGTGATCTTTTGATCGTCGGAATCTATGGACCTGCGGTCGTGATTGCTGTCAATCTTGCCTCCGGCCGGCTCGTTTGGTCAACAACAATCGATCCTCGTCCGCTCGCTCTCATCACTGCATCAGGCACCGTTTATTCCAGGTCGATCAATCAATTCAAAACTGGTGAACTAATAATCGTTAACACAATCTATTGATTTTTTTTTAATATAACTTGTAGGGGATTCTATGTCGGAGTATCTTCTTTGGAAGAAACACTATCTGCAGACAAATGCTGTACATTTCGTGGAAGCCTGGTAAAGCTAGATACTCGAACAGGTGCAATCCAATGGCAGACATACACAATTCCTGACAATGCCGGTCGACTCGGCGGTTATTCCGGTGGCGCCATATGGGGAAGCAGCCCCGCCGTCGATGTTTCGAGGAGAATCGTGTATGTAGCCACCGGAAACCTCTACACCGCCCCGCCGGAGGTATTGGAATGCCAAGAGAAGCAGAATAATCAAACTACAAAACCCACGCAACCCGATCAATGTACAGGTCCCGACGTTATGTTCAATTCGATAATTGCTTTCAATATCAAATCGGGAAATGTTATTTGGTCTCGACAACTAGGAGGTTACGACATTTTCTACTTCGCCTGTTTGATTCCTAATAATCCCGATTGTCCTCCGGGACCTAACGTCGATGCTGACTTCGGAGAGGCGCCGATGTTGCTCACGATCAAGTCAAACAGAACTCTACGTGACATCGTTGTGGCTGTACAAAAGAGCGGCTTTGCTTGGGCTCTAGATCGTGACAATGGTGATATCGTCTGGTTCAAAGTAATTGCATAACGTTTTCCGTTTGCCGGAGTATCTGTTGTTAAAAGTACTGATCGGTGTTTTGCGGTTGGTTTTTGTATGAAGCTTGCAGGTCCGGGGAGTAATGAGGGAGGAGGGATATGGGGAGCAGCCACCGACGGAAAAAGGGTGTACACCAACATAGCGAACGGCGATCGTGTGAAGTTCACCCTTGCTCCGACTAACCAGACCACCACGGTGGGTGCATGGGTGGCGTTGGATGCAAACACCGGCCAGATCTTGTGGACCACAGCTAACCCAAGTAACGACTTATGTGAAGGACCGGTGTCGTTAACCAGAGGGGTTGTGTTTGCGGGATCAGTGGCTCCGAATGGTCCAGTGTATGCAATGGATGCCAGAACAGGGAGGGTTTTGTGGTCGTACGACACCGGAGCCACCGTATACGGTGGAGTGTCAGCGAGTTATGGGTGTATATATGTTGGGCATGGGTATACCGTTGGGTTGGGTGTGTTTCATCCTTGGACCCCTGGCAACTCACTCTTTGCCTTCTGTCTTTTCTAAAGAATAGCACCAACAATAATTATCAAAATTATCAAAACAACACATTTTTTTTACTATATTTATATTTACTAATAATTTATGTCAAATCCTTTAATTAACCATCCTTTTATAATTTCACGAATTACTCACGAAAATTTTGGTATACCTCATATTATGTTAGATCGATTGACATTAAATGTTGAGCACAGTTTAAAACATCATCAAATAACTCCAAAAGCATTTTGTACATGTCCTATAAACAGTAACAAAGATATAAAGAACATATCATTTGCAAGTGAAACAGATATGTAACACCATCCCACACTCATGATGTGCATAAGAAAATCAAACAGACCAAATTAAAGAAATGCAAATACTTAACTCTCTGTTTCTGTTACTACCAAACACTCTAGAGGAGAAGAATCAAAAGAAATTGCAAAAAGAAAACGTTAATTACATTCCACCTAACCTTACTTTCTATTCTTCTCCTTGTTCAACATTTCTTGGATTCCAGGCCCATGAAACTCCGTCATGTAATTAGGAGGTTCAGTGATGAAGCAAGAAATCACATCTCTGAGTGTAATAATCCCAATCACTTCAATCCCATCACCAACAACATAAATCCTATGAACAGATTTTGAAGACAGAGTGCTTATCACATCGCCAAGTGTCGCATTAAGTTTGCATGTTATCGGTGAAATAACCTTCATCGTCTCCTCTGATGTTGCAGCAATTGTATTCATAAAATCTCTTGTAGTCAGCCGCCTAAAACCACAAAATCCATAATCATAATAATAAAATAATGAAATGACCCATGATCGTATTGTTGAGTATTGTTCACTAATACGAAATAAGGAATTTGTCTCATATTTGTAAGAGTGTAAAAGTGCCAGTCAGATATACTTTTAAGTGTTTGATTCTTTCTTTCTTCTCTTTTTGAGAGTGTAGAAAGGTACGATTAAAAACTTTGGAGAGTGTGGGTGTGATTGGGTAGTCAATTTTCTTGTTGGGAGGCCTATGGTTCTTCTCTGGTTTTGGAGATTCAATTCCATGGTGTTTAATTCTCTATTACATTTGAATTGGACGATGCCACCAATTAAATATATTTTTAAGTATTTGTTTGTTTCTTTTCTTTCTTCTATTCAAAGAGTAGAAAGGTGAGTCAAAACTTTGGAGAGTGTCAGTGTGATTAGTCGGTGTTTTTTTTTATGGGGTTTTGGAGTTTCCACGTATATTTTTGTGTTTAATTTTCCTTATTATTTTTAATTGGACCGATAATTTGGATTCTTGGAGACAATTTTCCCAACACATATCATGATAGACCATACCTAAAGTTTGTGAAAAGTTTCTGCTTGAGCAACAAAAATCTGATATCTTTTATGCTCACATTGCCCACAATTTTCTTTGTGGGGCCTTCGACAACTGGGAGACCACCGATTTGGTTATCCTTCATTTTCTTGAAGGCTTCAAGAATAAGCTCATTGCTATCACTGCTAATAACCTGAGAACGGAAAAAATACGAGGGTAGAAATTGACATATGATAGAAAACCAAGGTTAAATTTGTAAAATCAGAATTTTCTCACCTTATCTTTGGCAACGAATGGAAGTCCTAATTCAGTTATAGGGTGCATAGAAATGGAATCAAACCAATCTCTTCCTTTGCATTGTTCAAGACCTTGAACAACTGCAGACTGAGTTATAAAGTTCTTAATCAATGGGTTCCCGGGTTCTATGATAGGCACATTCCTTAATCTATACTTTGAAAGCAGCAATAAGACACTCAACATAGTGCTTTCTGTTGACACAGGAATAAATGGGGCCCAGCGGTAGCTTTTCACAATGGCCTTCACCTGAAATTTTTTAGAGGCATCTGTGGGTACTATTTTACAACTAAACAATTAGGGACTAAATAACCATATTCATCTAAATGCAAATTTTAGAGGTAAACTGACCTGGGTAGACTTAAAAGGCTCTTCTTGAAGAATAACTTTATAAAAATCCTCCCCCAATTCATCAGCTGCAGTTGGAGCATCTTTTCCCATTCCCTTTTCAGCCGCCACACCACCAGCAACAGCTGCACCAATTGCAGCAACTGTCAGTCCAGTTGCTGCAACCGGACCAGTAGCACCCAATGCTATGGCCCCAAGAGTCCCTGCAGCACCAGCACCTACTCCTGCAGCTGCTGCTGACGTGGCAGTCAATGCGGCAGCTGCTAAATCCGCTGTTTCCAACACCCATAAAACTATGGTAGAGTAATCAAGGATTCCCAGGTATCTCTCTTTCCAATCCATACTATCTCCGGCATCAGGGTTTCTTACAGGTGCTGATACTATATTGGATTCTGACAGAATCTTCACTGCATCACCGATTGACGTGTCTGCTAGAATCTCAATCACTGCCAAAAAAAAAGAAAAAAATGCCAGCTAATTAATACTCACTATAATTTTCACAATATCGATGAAACTGTTGAAAATCTAACCTATGAAGATATTGTACTTTTAAAATCTAACCTATCAAGTCATTGTGATTTTAAAATCTTAGTTAGGCCTTTGAGTTAATAAAGAATAAGAATAACATGCTTGTGAAAGCAGTTATGTAAATTCTCAAATCTAGTAGTGTTCATTTATTAAAAAAAAAAAATTGTAGTTTTGGTGGCAAATCTTTGAGGGATTATGCTACTAAGAAGATTCCATGAAAGTTGCAAGAGTAACCTTTCTAGTTGTCAAGGGTCATATCTGATAAAATCCAAATATAGTATAAATAAGGAATTCAAACAAAGAGATTAAAAACTCATTTTTGATACTACTTTAGAAACCTAATTACTTACAAAAACAAGTAAATAAGTAAGTTAAATAAAAATTAGATGCAATAACAAACAATTGGCTATTTGAAGTTGTTAACTCACGTATGTTAATTATTACTTGGCCTTTCTCACCAACAGAAAACTGAAATTCAAGATGACCTCATAAACACAGGCTCAAATTTAGTTTAAAACAACGTGAAAGCATGAAAATTCACAGCTATATATGAATATTAATTTACCTTTGCCTCTACGTACTTGTGGAAAAGTTGAAACTGGAATTTTTGTGAAGGCAGCAGTTAATTTCTCCTGCAGTGAAGATGACAATGTCTTCCTGCTTTGAATCATATCAAAGTACGCATCATAATCTGAAACATCTGATTTTCCTTTTCCTTTTTCTTCTGTTTTTGGTGCTGCCATGTCCCTCTCTTACTATTTTTGCAATGTATTACCTATTACAACGATACAATCCAAATAAAACTCCATAACTTACCCAAAAAAAATCTAAAAATCCCAAAAAATGGCAAGAACACATGATTCTTCGCACAATCGCTACTAATTGTTAGGATTTCTACTATTTGGAAGGACGTTATCGTATCAACAACAGATCGTTTCATAAAAAGTTGTGCATTTGATTATTACGATACCATATTTCAACAGAATTCGTATCAATTGATCGATTTTGTTAACTGTTTATGATTTAAATTCGAAAAGCGAATAAAACAATCGACGTACCTTGTTCTCTACGCGTCTTGAAGATCTGATTAAAAGGATCTGAAACAGAGAGGATGAAGAAATCAGGAATCATGTAGAGGTTCGTTTTGGTGGTTTTGTTCATATGCCACGTGTAAATGGTGTATGAAGTGGCGGGGATGGCTGATCGAAATGTGGCGAAGAATTGGTAAAATATAAATTGTTTCAATTGGCCCCTCGGGTTATGTATATTTCTATGTACAGTCCTTGTAGTTCATTTAAATGGATCGGATAAGTAGCATAGATAGTTGGCTTTAGAGAATAAAGTGAAAAGTTTCTTCCACCAAATAACGTCAGAACGAACAATAAATCCTGGTGAGACCAACTCCAATGGATACACACAAATAATGTTTTGGTGTGAAAATATGTTTCAATGGATCACTAAACTCATCACAAAAATGATGAGATTGAATAGTGGCCTCTATATTTGGTGTAACACTATTCATCACACAAAAACAACTTTTGAATTGTTAAATACTATTTTGGTTAGTTTTATAACTTTTACAACTTTAATAATTATTCTATTCTATATTATAATATGAAAATATGTTTTTAGTGTAAATTTTTAGTGTGTGGTTGGAGTAAAAAAATAGTTTTCGTGTTAAAAATACACCAATTTAGTGATATTTTTAGTGGAATGGTTGGAGTTGCTCTGAGCTATCTTGCATCATGAATAAATTAATTTATTATCTTGTATTTCTGAAAAATTAAATATCCTTAAAGGTCTAGGACGAACAAAAAAAAATGCCCTTAGTTGTAGATGTTGAATCTTTCACATCATTTGAATTGAATGGACCGAGTAAAGTGTCTCAGGATCCTTAAAACTAGTTGTAGGAGCTCCCATGGAAGAAGAATGATTGTCCCTCTAGCAACCACTATGTATGAATTCCCATACTAAATCTCTAAATTCATCATCTCTTCTACGACATTCCCTTCAATGTCGATTCCATCTTCAACGATTCCATCGAAAAAGTTTGTAACTTCAGAGTATTGGTCGAATTCGGACTTGCAAGCGCAATCAAGTCCAACCCAATCAGCAGCGAACTTACATAATCGAGTTTTGACCAACTAGGCATTTGAGAGATCTTCTTGTAGTAACAATTAAGGGCAACTCCAACAATGGTAGCATGTTTTGCTGACTTTATAGCGGTTTGGGGCTCTAGAGGAGGAGATAGGGTTCCGAATGTAGGTCACGAAGGATGCGATCCATAATTAGGATTTTTGGTTGTTCTTTGTTTCAATATAATCGAGAGTTGATTTTAAACTCTGAAGAAAGCTTCTAGATTTTGTGTCTCTCTATATTTGGTTTTCATTTGAAGAATAGTAAAACAAAACCACTAGTTTACAAGGGAGACACAAAACCTCGATTGTGTGTAACATTTATCGATGCTAAAAAGTCAATCAAAACTTCAATCCCAATAACCGGTTCAAATTCTTTAGGTTTTCTTAATGGTCTTTGCATGCAAGTTATATTTATTTTTGGTGGTCAGTTTAATGAAAAGGTGGTTCAATTTGATGTCATATGGACCGAGGAGTTTTGGTTCATCATGTAACGCTTTTTTTTGAGCAAGTAATTATAGATTTTGTGTAGAGATTTGTTCGTATATAAAGCAGTCAAGAAAAAAGATTTGATATTTCTTGCAGAGATTTGTTTAGTAATAATACCTTGTTCCAGTAATACCTTGTTCCTGAGTTTTCTGTAAATTCGGAAGAAATTTTTTTTTTTATTTCGTGTTCCTGAGTTTGAAGGAAATGAAAGGAAAATTTTAAGTTTATCAATCGAGTTTGTTATAATAATAAGAATAAAAAAATATTTAAATATTCAAAAGCCTTGTTATTTGGTCTTCATGTAGGTATATGCACGGTGAAGACAATCGTACTAACATATCCTACACTTCAAAAGTCAAATGCTATATTACTCTATGGTTGTTTGTAAAATACAATAGAGTTAGGGCCTAAGGGTAATTCAATTTTCTACTAAAAATGTACATGTAAATGGTGTACAAATAGGATCCATGGCAAGTGATTAAATGTATTCTCAAGGTGATTAGTCCATCTCTAATGAAAGTTTAATGGGGAGTTTAATCTCATTAAACTAAAAATCCCCATGGTGGGATAATGATAATGATTCAATAGAATGGAGATTTCAATCCTCATTGAACTCTACACTCTTCCTCCTCACACACACACACAAACACACACACACACACACACACACATATATATATATATATATATATATATATATATATATATATATATATATTTTATATCAAATTTGTAATTTTTAATTAATGTTACTTTTATCTGTAGTTTTTAATTTTTAAATTCATGGTAATTAATTATTTAAAAAACAACATTAAATAAAAAAAATGATAAATGATGTGACAATCCATTAAATTGGATTTATCGAACCAGTTTCTTCTTATTGTGTGAGTTTAAAATCATTTAATATTTACAGGTCGGTAATAGTCTCGTTTCAGTGAACTCCAAAAAGTCGATAAAACAAACAATTTAATGGAAAAAGGTTGTTTTCTCATAGTTTCCTGATACTTATAATATAATTTGGGTCACTAACTTTAAAATATTGTAGATTTGCCATTACAGTATATGTATTTAATAAACTTATGGTAGATGATCTTGTGGGGTGGCTTAAATGATTATTTAGAAGGAAAAAAACGATGGTTGTTGAAATTTCCATGGGTCGGAGTGGAGGGTATATTTGTTTGTCTCTATTAAACGAAAGAAATAACTACATCCTTCCACTTATTTGTTTATTATAGCATTATACTTATATTTCTTCCTATTATAATGTTTTATTATTAAAAAATTTATGTAATTATATTACTTTACCAGCAATACCAATTATATTACTTTACCAGCAATATCATTTGTTCATCAGTTGTCAATTGTAATTCAATTACTGCATGATAACCCCACATGTCAATTGTTACCTAAACGTAAATCTAAGAAATGTTTTTTTTTCTTTTTAATTATTTCATATAAAGAATCATGAATAACGTAAAGATACATGGGCAGCTTCAAAGCAACAGATTAAAGATGCAATTGCAAGGAAGAACCATGACAAAATTTCTTGCATTTTTGTATGGTTCCAGTGATCTCTATACAACTGTTTTGAATAACATTTCTTACCACCATGATTCCTACTTTAGGAGAACGAATGTGAGGAAAGGGTATAATAGACATTTTATATTTTATATCATTAGGTACTATGAGCTAGCCATCTAAGTCTATGAGGCAATGTACTTGGTTGTTACCATTAATAGCAATGTATTTAAATTCCTTACTCAAAGGGAAATGTATTTTATTTTTAGATAAATAGCATGATTGGACTATGAAATCCAACCTTCATTTAATTCTAATTCTAATTATAAGAATATACTTCTATTTTCTTTTTATTATTCATGATTTTACATTGAAAATCGATGTATTTAAATAAAAAAAATTACTTTTTTGTTATTAGCACATTATACTTTAGAATAATACATAAATACCTTCTGCGGGTCGTGTTTAGCACCTAGGCTAATGAGTTTAGTCTAGTGAACTCGATCCGGTCAGTAAACCTATCTGACGAAGTTGAGTCTTGACACACACACAATAAGAAGATGAGCTTCCCTTCTATTACCGGAAAGAAAGAAGAGTTTGCCACCGACTACATATTTCACTCACTCTATTCTCTTTGATCTTGTTTCAAGGGGATGGTCGGTTTATCTAGAATGTTATATAAGAGGCAACTATATAGATTTTATTTTATTTTATTTTATAGAAATGGGCCTTGAATTTAGAAAAGGTACGTATAGAAAAAATTACACAAAATAACAATTTCAAAAAATTATAGGGATGGTTTGTTCCTAATAGAAAAATTACATATTTGGTCCTTATTTTTAACAAAGTTATAAAATTGTTCATGTCTATTATCGTATAGTGAGAATGTTACGTATGATGTCCCTTTGTACAAAAAAATTGTCAGAAATTGTCCTTGAATTTACGAAGAGGTCTTTATGACATTTTTTTTACAGAAATGATCCTTATAAGAAACAATTTCACAAAATTACTAATCCATGTCTAATAGCAAAATTATGGAAATTGTCCTTGTCTTTCACAAATTTGCAGAAATGTTCTTCACCTAATAGTGAAGTAATAGAAATGGTCTTTATTTTACAAAAAATGCATAAATTATACCTGCCTAATAGTAATAGTGAGTTTACAAAAATGGTTTATGTGTTTCATAGAATTTACAGAAATGGTGTTGAAAATATAAAATTAATAAACCTAACATAACACAGGGATGAAAGTGGGTCCAAATCAAAACCGTTCGACCGGAACCCGAAAAACTCAGAAACCGGATTTGACGGATTATAAGACCCGAGAACCGGACCGATATATAAGAATCAGTTTCGGTTCAGCTCCGGGTATCAGACTGGGTAAAGTGGGTATGGAACCGGAAATTGAAAATTGGAACCAGATTTGTGTACTACACTCGGAAAGAGCCAGAAACCCGGAAATAGTATCGCACACCCGAAAGTTTGGAACCGGAAACCCTTAAATTTGACAAAAAAAAATTTCTCAAAGTAATCATTTAGTGATGGTTTTCATATATAATATTGTATTTGGCAAGAAAGTAATGTAACTTCTTTAATCCACTAGGTTTAATCTATTAAACACCCATCGGAACTTCTGGAGAAAAAAAATACAACATTTTGGATTGATAATATAATTAATTATAGGACTTAATATAACTTATGTAATTTTATATGGAAATTGGACCAAATTAAGATGTTATAAGATAGATATAGACTTTTTTGTATGTTTTGAAATCATTAATTTAGTAGTTATGGAAATGAACTTAGTCTACGTTATGACATAACGTGGAGACAATAAGTAAAAAGTTTCATCTCTAAAATTAGAACAAATTACTGAAATCGTCCCTGTGGTTTGGTCAAAATTGCGTGTTTGGTCCCTAACTTTTTTTTTTGCATTCGGACCATCTCTAACATATCATATTCTTGCGTTTTTTCGTCCCTAACATATCATGTTTTTGCTTTTTTTGTCTTTTGTAAAGATAAAAAGACTATATTGCCCTTTGTACTTTCTTTTTCAGTTTTTTGTCACTTATTTTTATTGATTAATTAAAATAAATGAATTATAAGTAATTTATAAATAAGTGCGTCCACCTACTCCACCCCCCCCCCCCCCCGGTCTCCCTTCCCATCCACCGCCACCATCCACCTCCGACAACCATTCCGGCAGCACCTACTTTCAAACATGGTTCATCTCTGACAACCACCACAATTTACACAAAATCAAAAGAAATTAAACTAAAATCAAGCACCAGAACAACTACCAGTCTACCACACCCACCACTCTTTACAAAATCAAAACCAAACAAAATCAGGAATCAATGTATACATAATCAAAGCCTATAATTAACACTAAACCGAAACCACAGATCAAAACTAAATTCAAAGCTCAGAACCAAACCAAAAAAAGATAAAACCAAACTTGTAATCAAATCTCAAAATTAAACATAAAATGGGGGTTTGTATCTTGGTACAAACTACAAAATCAAACTTGAATCAAAATCAAACATGGAAACTGATGATGAGAAGCATGGTTATGGTAAAAATTATCTTCATCAGGCACCAAACTTGATGAAATCTTGAAACACTCAGTCACCATCAAGAAAAGAAAAATGAGGTTGGTAAAACTTATCTCCATCTCCACACATCAATGTTCGATAATAGATCTGAAACTAAACGTCGGTGGGAAAAATCAAACGAAGGCGATGGTCTCGGCTACGGTTCAAGATTATCAAGGAGAGGGGCAGAAGAAGGAGAGGTGATGGTCTTTCAGGGGAATTCAATGATCTTTGAGGATCCGGAGTAGAGAGAGAGAGGAGTGAAGAGAGAGAGAGAGAGAGAGAGAGAGAGAGAGAGAGATATGAGAAGTAGATGGTGGTCCATGGGTTTTCAGTGGGTTCTGGCGGGCGGCGGCTAGCTCTTCGACACAGTGCTCCACCTGTGACAGTGGAACGAAACACTCGCCAAGGCGATGATGGTTGAGTGATTTAGGTTCGAAAAACGGAGGTGCTTCCCGCGTTTGATGTATCCCAGATGATGGCAGCGGTGGTGTAAATCTAGGGTTCCGGCGAAAGCTCCGGTTATGGAGAGGAACGAGGGATGATTTTCAGTGAAAAGGAATGACGGGTCTAGGGTAGGAACTTAGAGGAGATGAAAGAGTTTAGTGGGCCCCACATGTTTTATCAGTTTTTTTAATAATATAAATAATAAAAAAAACTTAAAAATAAAAAACAAAGGGTAATATAGTCTTTTTAAATGTGTTAGGGACGAAAACGTAACCAAATCATATTACAAGGACGGTCCGAGTGCAAAAAAAAAGTTAGGGACCAAACACGTAATTTTGACCAAACCACAGGGACGATTTTGGTAATTTATTCCTAAAATTAATGAATATATCCAAGAACAATTACTAAAAAACATGATTAAAGTTCAAAAATATTAGCCCGGTCTAGTTTTCTATTTCACATCCGGTTCTAAAACCCGGAATACCCGGTTCTAGTTCCCTCTTTTAAATCCGGTTCTAAAACCCGGAATACCGAACCCGTTGGACCCATACCCAGAACCCATATAAGACAAATATTTAGACCCAATCCCGGACCGGTTTAGCATATTCCGGTTTCGATCTGATTCCAGTCCGGTTTTCCGGTTTTAAATCTCATCCATAGCATTAGAGTCATGCAGTTGATAGAAATTAGTATTTTCATGGTTTGCAGTTAACGATAGACTCTAATACTTTTCTAGAAAATAACTACTTGATTTTATGCCAAAACTCAGAGTTGTCTCATTCTTCTGTACGGGGCCGGTTCTGAGAAATTAAATATCTTCAAAGGTCCAGGACGAACTAGATAAAAAGGGCCCTTGTCGTTATTATACGTTTTTTTTTTAAATAAATATATATAATAAAAAAATTGGGCCTGTGCAACTGTCCACTTTGCCCCCTCAACGCCCTCAATGCTTCTGGATTATCCTCAAATTAAAATCATGCAACCTTAACATATAAGGTCCGAATTATAGCTTACGAAAATGAATCTATGCATGGTTGTTTCTTCTATTTTTCATGTTTTCACTATTTAATGAACTTTTTGTTTTAATTGATCTGCTCCGCTTCAAAAACAACAAGTCACGAATTACGTTATCTTTTCCTTTTTCGAGAGAATGTTAAATACTTAAATTATACCCATTGATTCTTAATTAGCATGAAATCATTTCCAAATTAAAACTTGTTCGTAATAGGTAATATTTTAAAGGTTTTGATTTTAAATTTGCACCCACAGTTATATTACTAGATTTGTAATTTTTGCAAAATTTCACAACTTTTGTGGTCTAACTATAAATTTTGGAAAATTACTCCATACAATTCTCTCCCTATCTCTCATACACGTTCATTCATTCCGTCTCCTTTCTCAACAATCCCAGAACACAACAGAAGATTCAGTCTCTCACTACGATGATTGAATGATCCAAAAGGATCCACAACACTAATTTCTCCCCGATTATATATTTTCAGAAGGAAATCATCGAGAATACATCCTATATTTTGCAGATTCTCACATCGTAAGGTTCGCGTTCTGTTTCTTGAGGGCTTTTTTTCGGCCCGGTTTATCATCCACTCTTGTATTTGTAACATTATATCAATCTAACAATTGTTCTATGAATTTCATCATCAATCGAGTCCCTAACACTCAAATGGACATAGATCTTCATTGAACGAGAGTTTAGATACTGTGATTTAACTTTATTTCCATCATACATCGGCTTCTGAAACAATCAATTTTGATTCGACAGATTCAAACTGCTGCATTTGATACTTAAATCTGAATTTCTTTCAATATCCATGATGTTTCGATTATGTTATACGATTTAGATGTAAATGTCAAAATTTTCACAACGATCAAAATATAATGCCTGTTTTGAAATTGAAACTCGATCATTTGTAAGGTCAATTATTGTTCAATCACGGTTTATACATTACAATGGACACCCTTTGATTAACACCATTGGATAATTGCTTTAAGTAGTAATACAATCTGTTTCTTTGTCTTTTCTTTTTCTAAACAATTCCACTAATGGTTTCTAGGATGTTATGATTCAGTTTTTGTTGGTATTTTTTGGTTTATAATGCAACAATGATGCCAAGACTTATGTTTTGCAGACATTCTTATATGCATTGTGCAATTGGTTATGATGTAAATTTTTTGTTTCTTGTAAGATATCAATACCATTTAAGAAATCTATATCTGGGAAGAACTGTTTATACCTTAAGTTTTTTCCACTCCATTTTTTTCTCAGGTTTAAATATTTGGCAAGATGGCAGGCCAAAGCCAGAGATTGAATGTTGTTCCAACAGTTACAATGCTTGCAGTTGTGAAAGCTCGGCTCACTGGTGCAACAAGAGGCCATGCTCTTTTAAAGAAGAAAAGTGATGCTTTAACTGTTCAATTTCGCCAAATTCTCAAGAAAATTGTGAACACAAAGGAATCAATGGGAACAGTTATGAAATCTTCTTCATTTGCATTAACTGAAGCAAAATATGTTGCTGGAGAAAACATCAAACACATTGTCCTAGAAAATGTCCAAACTGCCACTGTTAGGGTTCGTTCACGCCAAGAGAATGTTGCAGGTGTTAAGTTACCAAAATTTGAGTATTTCACAGAAGGTGAAATGACCAAAAACGACCTCACTGGACTTGCAAGAGGAGGACAACAGATACAAGGATCACGTGTTGCTTATCTGAAAGCCATTGAAGTTCTTGTTGAGCTTGCATCTCTTCAAACATCATTTCTGACCCTTGATGTGGCAATCAAGACCACAAATCGTAGGGTTAATGCTTTGGAGAATGTTGTGAAGCCAAGATTGGAGAACACTGTGACTTATATTAAAGGAGAGTTGGATGAACTCGAAAGGGAAGATTTTTTTAGACTAAAGAAGATTCAAGGGTATAAAAAGAGAGAGGTTGAAAAGAAAGAAGAAGCTGCTAAAAAGATTGTTGTTTCTTCAAGGAGAGGAGGGACACTTTCATCAGCTAGTAGTTGGTCTAAAAGGAAAGATGAAGACATCATTTTTTGATTTATGAAGATCTTTAGCATTACACCATTTCTTTGATCTTCCTCATTTATCATTTCTGAAAGAGTTCATTTCTTTTTCTTCGAATAAATTGTATTCTTTTATCCAAACAAGATTTCATTTTTCATATTTCTTGTCTATTAAACGAATTCATCAATTTCGAAATTTGTTACTTCACATTGATTTCACCTATTTACATACACCAAAAGTAGGCTTACTACGCCATATATATATATATATATATATATATATATATATATATATATATATATATATATATATATATATATATATATATATATAAAGTAGAAACAAAAATGTGTTCACTTAAAAGTTACATGAAAAAAAAAAATAATAAGTCATTATTAGATTCGGGCCCCACCCCCGACATTTCTGACAAGTGACGTAATCGATGCTGCCAATGCTGACCGGAAAGACGGGTTTGCAGTCAAAGCTTTTGTGGCGGCTGCAATTGTCTCCGGTGAATGATTTGAAGAACTTGATTTACTTCGGAAATTATCGTTTGATGGGTTTTGATAAAAGGTTTCATAAGATGTTTGTCTCCCAAGATATGAAAAATTAATAGGATTCTTGTAGTTGGATTCCATGGAAGAAGAAGAAGATGAAGTTGGTGAAGAGAAGTTAAGACATGATGAAGAAGAAAACCTTGGTTGAGTTCTTAAAAAGTTTGATGATGTTGATTTGTTAAAATGGGGATTTGTTGTGAGATCAAGGGTGATAGTTGGGTGTGATTGATAGGTGGAGATTGTGGTGTTTGGTAGGTAAAATGGGTATTGATGAGGTGGCCTTGAATTGTAGGTCGTGCCATGGTGGCCGGAGAAGGTGGTGGTTGAGGAAGAGGTGGAGGTGGCAGTGGTGGTGAGACCTGGTTGTGAGGTTGATGAGGTGGATTTCAACATTGAGGCGGCGGCGGAAGTGGTGGAAGCCATTGCGGTTGCGGATACTGAAAGTGGGTGATTGTGAGTTCCTTCGTAGGTGGTGATTAGTACGGATCTATCCTCGGCACATCTTTGCACCTAAATAATCATTTTGAAATTAATTAGAAATAATAACATATATAGAATGAAGTTATGGACTATCCTAATAACCTTTTGATCAATTTAAAACATGTTTGGAAGCTAATATAGAAGTTATAGCTAATATAGAAGTTATAGACTAGCCTAATAAACTCTCAACCCAAAGTTATTAGGCTAATTTATAACTCCTCAGACCCAAAGTTATTTATTAGCACAATAACCTCTTGATCAATTTCAAAATTTGTGTTTGAAGTTGATGCATAAGTTATTGGTTGGTTTATAACTTTAGGGTTGAATTGTTACATGGAAGACTTTGTATAAACACATCTACGTCACAATAGAGCAAAAAGTATGTTTTAGTTTCTGGACCTATTACATTTCAGTCAATAAGCAAGTGGGCTTTAAATTTTTGTGTTGACTTCAAAATTTTAAACTCCATTAATTTGTCATGGAAGAACATATGGAGTTGAATTTTTTGGAATTATCTTAATTTTTCTCAAGAAAAGTAGAAAGGAAGAAGAATTTACATGTTTTCTGACTGGGCAAGATGAAGACACCGTGCATCTGTAATATGCTCGAGGGCATGGATTTCCTTTCGCTATTTTCTGCCCATATTTCCTCCATTGACAACCGTCATTCATCTGTATCGTAATTCATCAAAGTTCAACATTATTATACAAATTTATATTAAAAATCTTAACAAACATCATTTGCTTACATTTCTACAAAATAGTTATTTTCACAACCCTAGCTAGGCGTAAATAATATACACAGTCTCCAGCAAGGTGGTTGTCATAATAGTTCAATGACAAAAGGAGCTCAATTCACTTTGGAATCGAAACTCTCACACTTCATCTGCTATGATCCAAACACACACAAACGCATACACAATACACAAATATATATATATATATATATATATTATATATTATATATATATATATATATATATTATATATATATATATATAATTCTTGAATAATTCGTACCGTTTGGGTGTCACATACAACTTTAACAGAAACCCTAGCTTTCTTCAAAGGAATATGATCTAAAAGATCATTATCCTCTCTTCTCTCACTCTTCAAATTATGAACCTTTGGTTCCAAATTCTGTGTTTTTTCATCTTTCTTCATGTCAAATTCACAGCCTAACCCTAATTTGAGTTCTTGTTCATCACCACCATCTTTGGTTGTACTGAAGCAATTCACCTTCTGCTGACTATCCTTCTGTTTATAACTTGAAAGTGTTCCAAGGCTTAAGGAAATAAGTTCATTTCCATGATCACCTTCTTGATGATCAGTAACCAAATTTTTAGAACTTTTGGAAATTTCTTGTTGGAAAAAATCGTTATAATGCGTTTGCAACGAATTATAATCCTTCAAAACCATAGATAATGTATGTTTTAGCTTTTGATTCTCTTGTCTAACTTGACCCATCTCAATATCCTGAACAACACATATATGTTATTTAAACATATGGATTAATAGTTATATACATAAACAAGAAAACTAAATAAAAGTCTGGAAGAAATACCTGTGCTGAGGTTTTTGAGACCATGGTTTGATCATCATGTTCTTCATTGACCTCAAAGAAACTAAACATAGATTTCTCCATGCTCGAGCTAGCTGCCATGGAAGTTGAGTTTTTTGATATTATTATAGAAAATGGTGTTACTTATAGATACTGTTTTAGATCGCCAACTGGGTTTGACCAAAAACTTATAAAACTATATTCTTCTCATTGACTTGTATCTGCATGTTGCTTCATACATGTGAATATATTATTTTTTAAATGGGGTTTGTTAAAAGCATATAAATTAATTAAGTACAAGTTTCATTATTTTTAAGATTTAATAAACATTATTAGTTCTTAATTGATTTATCCAAATAGTTGAATCTAAAAGTCATAAGTGTAAAAAGACAACAATGTCAAAACTTCCATTTCTTCGAGTATTCAAATTTCCAAATTTACATTTTGTCTTAAGAACTTTTGAAATATTTCTAACATTGATGTTTTGAAATAAATTTTGTTTTTCAAAGAATTGGAAACCGATCATCTTCATATAATTAAGGTAGTGTTTGTTTTTTGACTGCAGATCTGCGTGACCTCTTCTGTCTGCGCCGCGCAGACCACGCGCAGACATTAGCCTTCACAGACTGTTTGTTTTTATGAAGACTGCAGACCTAAAAATGTCTGCGCGCCCTCTTCTTGGCGCAGATGTGGACTAGAGTCTTCTAACATCTTCAGACATCTTCTAGCCTAAAAAAACATATATATCTTTATTGTTTTTAAGTTTTTTTTTTAATTTATATTTTTTCCAACTTTATTAATGATAAACAATTTGAAAAAAAAAATTACAAAACTTAAAAAAAACCGTTCGACGATACAAACATGATATTTTTGACAAATTTATAAATAAAGATTTATTACAATAATAGTCGTTGAAGTTGTTTATATAAATATGAAAAAAAAATCACAATATATTCTTATATTTTTTTGCCAAATTTTGTAAAACATTATTTAATACAGTATCGTCAATTTCTCGAAAAAATATTTATGGTACATTTTTAATGGATTTAATTGAAAAAATCGAAGTTTATTTCCATCCATTTATGTATCAAATTCTTTGATCACTAGTTATAATGTTTAGTTATAACTTTGCAACCAAAGTTGTTGATTTTTATCAAATATATACGTTAATTCATACCATTTTTATTTTTATTTTTTATACAATAATACATAAAAGTTGATCTAGATTCATTAATTATTTATAACAAAGTCATAAAAATATTAAAAAATCACTTTGAAGTTTAAAAAAATCAGTTTATTTATATTTCAGTTTATTTTAGTAGCCCGCAGATGTTAAAAAAACAAACAATCTTTTTTTTTCAGACTGCAGATGTTTGGTCCACCTCTTCTACTGCAGAGGTCTACAGATGTGGTCCGCAGACTGCAGACATTTTGCCTCAGAAAAAAACAAACAACACCTAATTTACGACACGTGAGAACTTATACAGAAATTCATTTATTCATTTTAATAAATTGATTTTGATTATATGAACATATAGAGGAAAGTAGACAACATGAAATGCTAGTATTAGCGGCAGTCAAAAGTAAACCCAAAAGATAAGGAAAGTCGCCCCTAATACCGTTACTGGCAACATGTCATCGCTAATGAGACGTCATTATTGCTCCGACTACAAGGAAAAAGGCAATTAGCGACAGGGGCGGACGCAGGATTTTACAGTAGGGGTTCCACGGGAGAGTTGGGGTTGCACGGTAGTAGAAAAAATAAAAATTTCAAAAATTTTCGAAAAATTTTACACTGCGGCCGGAAAAGTTAGGGGTTGCCGGTGCCACCGTGGACCACCCCTAGGTCCGCCATGATTAGCGGCGACAAAAGTCGCTGCTAAAGGGTCTCATTGTCACCGGTAATGGTAATAGCGGCAACACGTCGTCGGTAATAAGTCGCCGCTACTGCTCCGCCGTTATTAATCAATTTGTCACCGCTAAAGAGAATAGTCGTCGCTAATGATGAAGTCGCCGGTAATGATGAAATCGCCGATAATAGTGTAGCCGGTAATAACAATTTTCATTTTTTAATTTTTTTTAATCAACGATTTTGGTTGCCAGTAATAGTGTCGCCGGTAATTACATAACAACATCCGATTGAATATCAAAGGTAATAGTGTCGCCAGTAATTATATAACAACATCCGATTTAATATCAAAAGTAATAGTGTCGCCGGTAATTACATAACAACATCCGATTAAATATCAAAAGTAATAGTGTCGCCGGTAATTACATAAAACAACCAAAAGTTTTACAAATCTAACAAGTAGCAAAACATGACAACAAGTGTAATATACAAATAAAGCTCCTCCCTACATACCATCATCTTCGTTCCCATCGTTTCCTCGGTTATTCTGTAATTGAAAAAACGAATAAAGCTCATCCCTACATGCTTGGTCGTTGAGTATTGCCCGAAGATTTTCCAACTACATAATAAATAACAACATATATAAACTTATAAGTTAAATTATCAAACATAAACCAAAACTATCAAAGTACATTGCTATTTTTAAAGTAAGACAAAAAGCCAAAGTACATTGCTATTTCTTGCACTTGGGACAAAAACCCAATTACCAATGCTTTTAGCAAATAATCACCACAAAACCAAAATTACCAAATCAACATGCATTTTATGATGCCAAAGTAGATTGCTATTTTTAAACTAAGACAAGAAACCAAAGTACATTGATATTTCTTGCACTTGGGACAAAAATCCAATTACCAATGCTTTTAGCAAATAATCACCACAAAACCAAAATTACCAAATCAACATGCATTTTATGATGCCAAAGTAAATTGCTATTTTTAAACTAAGACAAAAAACCAAAGTACATTACTATTTCTTGCACTTGGGACAAAAACCCAATTACCAATGCTTTTAGCAAATAATCACCACAAAACCAAAATTACCAAATCAACATGCATTTTATGATGCCAAAGTAGATTGCTATTTTTAAACTAAGACAAAAAACCAAAGTACATTGCTATTTTTGCACTTGGGACAAAAACCCAATTACCAATGCTTTTAGAAAATAATCACCACAAAACCAAAATGATCCAATCAACATGCATTTTATAATGCCAAAGTAGATTGCTATTTTTAAACTAAGACAAAAAAACCAAAGTACATTGTTATTTCTTGCACTTGGGACAAAAACCCAATTACCAATGCGTTTAGCAAATAATCACCACAAAACGAAAATTACCAAATCAACATGCATTTTATGATGCCAAAGTAGATTGCTATTTTTAAACTAAGACAAAAAACCAAAGTACATTGTTATTTCTTGCACTTGGGACAAAAACCTAATTACCAAAGCTTTTAGCAAATAATCACCACAAAACCAAAATTACCAAATCAACATGCATTTTATTATGCCAAAGTAGATTGCTATTTTTAAACTAAGCCAAAAAACCAAAGTACATTGCTATTTCTTGCACTTGGGACAAAAAACTAATTACCAAAGCTTTTAGCAAATAATCACCACAAAAACCAAAGTAGATTGTTTTACCTGTGATGGTTGTGGTGATGGTTACGATGGCTGTGAAATCGGCTGGAGAGCAGAAGGTTTACAGCCGATGCCTCTGATATGGTCACGTCGCTCTCCTAATACTTTCTCAAAAGCAGCTCTTTCTTGAACGTGTGTTAACTCACTTTCACCTTGGGTTTGTTCTAAGAGCTCTTTGACTAACCGATTATGTAATTCCCAAAAGCGAGTAACAATTAAGTATAAATAAACACTTAATTATATGATAAGTTATAATTAAATACTTACATAATGTTGTTCCGCCTCGGTAGTAACAAATACACCATCCCTATCAGTATGAGCCTTGCGAAACCTTTCCACTCTCTTAAGGTTCTGCTTAACATTAAAAGTTAGATTATATTTCAAATATATAATTACATGTATCATACGTTACCTTCTTATAGCAAGTACTGCTATACCCCCCACGATTCACATTCGTTTGCATTTGACGGACTTTTTTGTTCCTGTCTGAAGCAATTTTGTGTTTGTCCGTTTGGAAATACTCAACTGCTTTCTTCCAGTTATCAACATCCATACCCTTTGGAGGGTTGGATAATGCTCTCGGGATATCATCATACCCTCCGACTGCCAAAAAATATTCTTTTGCGTCAGTTTTACGTTCTCGATAACCTTTTAACAAAGCTGCTTGAAAACTCTCTGTCAACATATTAGCTTCTACATCCTGGTACATCTGATCCAAATCAAACATTGTCTACAAAAAAAAGTTAACCAAGAAAAAACCAGTCATAATTAACCATATAAAATATTTTTAAATAAATAATTACCCCTAAATGTTGTACTACGGTGTCCTTTATTGCAGGGGAAACTTTTTTCCAAGTCCATTTATCAAAAGGGACCATATGCCACATTGTTTTTCCAACTTCTCGTGAAAACATGTCTTTCGGCTCTCCTACGGGATCATATGTTATATCCCTATCATAATCCATGGTAATCGGTTTGCCCTTATTCTGTAAGAGCACTCTTTCAAGCTTTATATTTTTGGCTTTGCCTCGGACTTTCCTACGTGCACGTTGCTCAACTACATATATAATTAAAAATTATTAGAAACGGTATTTAATTTATAATAACTGAATAAAAATAGTAAATAAAAATTCATAATAAGACTTACGGTCCTGCTCATGATGACCAGCACCTCTACCAACTGGGAAAGGTGGGTCCTCAGCTCCATCACACCCGTGTCCACAGCCCATAACAGCAACCATGGTATACACAAACAAAAGCCATATTGACATCATTTCCTGAAAAATTATAAGATATATAGATACACTTTTTATTAGAAATACACATTACATAGAAATAAACATTTACATAGAAATAAACATTTCTATTTAAACTAGGAATACAAATAAAGTTCATATTACAAACACGTATTACATAAGAACTGTTCTAATCAGAATCTTCCTCATATACTTCAGTGTCTTCTTCGGTATCATAATCAGAATCGGTCTCATCGTAATCAGTCTCGCAATCAGAAACATCATTGACTCTACCAGTTGGTGGAGAAACTTCAGTTGCACTTTC